AGCATAGTCTCGCAGGTGTAGCCGCGAGGTGGGCGGCGAACGGCGCGCCGCGGGGAGAAGAAAGAGGGTGGGCCGGGGGACGGAGAGAGCGGAGAGAGAGAGAGAGAAAGGGAGACGGAGAGCGAGAGAAAGAGAGCTAGAGAGGAGGACAGGGGCCTGAGAAAGGAAGCAGCATCCGAGCAGAGCGACCGGCAATAAAGGGCTCGTTTCACCGGGCCGTTGGGGGCACATTATATTGTGGGCGAGCGGAGAGCGCGCGATAGACCCGAGCCGAAGCGGCCAGAAGCGGTGTGCTGCGGCGAGCAGAGCACAATGCGAGTCGGTGTGTTTCGGCGATAAAGGCCAGGAACGTGTCCAAACAACGTCCGAGCAGCCGCGGATATTAATGGGAGCTGTTTTCGCGTCGGCCATAAGCAGGTACATGCCTCTCGTCTTCTGTGGGATAACGGGAGGAATTCCGTTCTCGAGCTGCCTCCAGACAAAAGAGGAAGCAGCGGCGGCCTGCCACCTCGCCGGCACTCTCTCTCTCTCTCTCTCTCTCTCTCTCTCTTTATTTCTTTCTGGAGCGCTCTCTTTCTCTCTCTCTGGAGCGCACGCTCTCTCTCTCTCTCTCGCTGGAGCGCTCTCTCTCTCTCGCTCTCTCACTCTCTGGAGCGCACTCTCTTGCTCTTTCTCTTTCTCTCTCTCTCTCTCTCGAGCGCTCTTTCTCTCTCGCACTCTCTCTCTCTCTCTCACTCTCTCTTCCTGGAGCGCGCTCTCTCTCTCTTCCTCTTTTCTCGCACTCCTTTCATCGCCGCCTCGATTCTCGCGTAATTAGCGGCTTCGATGAGCCTGGAACGCGTCTGCGCTACGTGGCGCCTTACCGCGGCCAAGAAATTTAATTAGAAAACACTGGATGGCTTTCAGCCACGCTCCATCGTTCTCTAACCCAGATCGTTCGTTCGTTAGTTCGTTCTTTCTTTCTTTCGTTCGTTCGTTCGTAAGCTCGTCTCTTAGGGATCTTCTCGGCCCAGCCGCGCTTGTTAACTACGTTCGAGAATCGATTAAATTCGAGAATCCGATTAAACCCGTCGCGTAAGACAAGCCGCAGTTTATTAACGCTAGAATTACCGTGCTTTGAACGCGACTGCTTTCTTATTTTGCAATTCTGCAAAGTTCCGTGACTCTTTCGTGGAAAACGCTCGAATAAGTTATATTATTGGAGCAAGTTCTACAATAAAAACGTTACAAATTCTAAATAAATTCGGTCTTCTCACTTTTGCGAAGCGGTACATGCCAGGTTAGTATTACTGCTCGGTAGCTTTAGCGTTAATAGATTACTTGTAAAATCTTCATCACGAGTCTGCCTCGTTGTCATATAGCGCAAAGGGTTAAAACCGATCGCCGGTCGTTTTCGTCAAAGTGCAACCGGCAGGGAAACATCGTCGAATCGCCAACAGCAACAAACAGCAACAGCAACAACAACAGGAACCAAAGCAACGCCTCGAAGCGTTGGATCGAAGCGCGCGATGCTCGCCGCCTCGTCGCATCGAGACTTTCGCGGCTCGGCGTCGATTGATGCGGCTTGATTTGTCTCTTCGGCGTGTATGTGTGTATGTGTGCGCCGCGGCGACTTTGATTCGCGTTGCAACGTGTTGCTTCCACGAAATCGAGAGAGAACTCGCCGACAAGCGGGATCCCGGCGGATCAAGACGATCGCGGGGTGCCGGGGAGGGGGGGACGTGGGGGGCCAATAAAATAGTCGGCGCCGGCCGATGATAGATCAGGCGCGTACGAACTCGCGCGAATCATCGGAGCAGAGTGGCGCGGGGGAGGGAGGGAGAGCGCGAGGTTCTCTCATTAACGGGGCGCACCGGGAAACCGTGCATGCAAATAACTCCTCCGGCAAGGATGTTTATTGCTTCCGCATCCGGGGAAAGCTCGCCGGGGGCAGATCGCGGCCGGATAAGCGGCGAATTAAAGCCGTCGATGGTGCGGCCGAAGTAACGAAATTCGATTATCGTTCGGGGCCCGAACGGGGACCGAAACGAGCGAGCGAGCCCCGAGCCGCGGCCGCTCGCTGCTCTCTGGCCTGACGTCGTGTGCCACGGCTTCTTCTGTGTGCCTCTCGTGTATATGTGTCTGTATATGTGTCCGTGTATTTGTATACGTGTGTTGGTGCACGTCAGCGAACGACACGCATGAGAGCGCCGCACGGCCGAGTGTAGCTTCCGGTCTCCGGTTCACTCTAATTGCCAGGCAGACGCGCGCAGGACCTCGGGGAAAGAAATTAAGCGGTCTCGCTCTTCTTACGAACGACGCCCCGAGCCACGATATACATGCTTGTGTGTGCGTGTGTGTGTGTATATGCGTGCGTCTCGAGAACGAGCAAAGCAGCTGTGCAGCACGGATATCTGTGCTAAGGATTGCCCCGTGGGGCACCCCGGCCGGCTCCGACGAAATCAAGAGCGGAGAACGAAATTCGCGGTAGAGGCCCATCCTCAGGGGCCTCACGGGCGCTGGATATACGTATTCGAGGGAAGAGATGCCACGCCGTGGCCATCGATCGCCCCGAGGGTCGCCGGCTCCGCTCTGAAATCGAGAGCTTCGCCGGAACTACGAGTCCGATCGCTCCTTCGAACGCGGCAAGTCGGTCGACGGCAGTCGCGGACTACGAAAATCGTGAATTAATTTCGTAGGAAGTCTCCTCAATGTTGTAATGACGCGTCTGACGTTTTAAAGTACGATTCTTTAGGCTCGGATTTGCGAACGAGACGATCTAAACGTCTCGCCGTAGGGGAGGTAACTTTTCGACCACCCCGTAGAACGAGGCACGTTTTCTTTCCAAATAGAGAAAATAGAGAGCTAGACGAGGTGTTTCAAAATTATGGTACGCCATGGGGACGGAGCGATTCTTCGGGTTATTTGAAGCAACTTTTTCCTCAGCGAAAATGTTCTACGAGGCTTCGTTCACGAGTTATTAGCGAAAGACGCTGACGGATTAGAGATCGCGCACGGCTGACGCCCCGCCCTCGCGGCCACTGTCGCCGCGTCACGCGATCGACGCGACCCGGCATTGGCCGCGAGGGCGAAGCGCGCCAACCGCGCTCGCCCTCCGATTGGTCCACGTTTTTCGCTAATAACTCGTAAACGAGGCCGCGAATCGCATTTTCGCTGAGGAAAAAGTTGCTTCGAATGACCCGAGGAAGCTCTCGTTTCCCGGAAGTATTATAATCTCGGGGACATACTGCACGATTTCGTGTATTCTCGGAATATACGTAATAAAATATCGAGAACCAGGAATTATGATGTTGTTTACATATGTTATAAGAAAAGAAAAGCCTAGAAATGATCTTCTTTTTAGTCTGATCGACCGGAAGCTGCCCTCAACCAATTGGGTACAGATTTCTTTGAAGAAATGATTGGAATTAAGTTCGTTTGAAATGGATTTAATTTGCTGATGCAGCAGTATCATGTGTGTGTAATATATATTTATATAATATCTATATAATATCTAATAATATCAATATAATATATCTACATAAAGGCACTAGATCGTGCATGAGAATTAAACGAATATATAAAATCTAAAATAACAATAAACAACACAGCAAATTAGAAGTTTGACCGACTAGCTAGACGAACGAATTGCACCCGACATCCGTAACATAACCAAAACGGTAACTCAATCAAAACTACCCGACCAGTCTCGGTCGCACGAATGAGCGCCAAAGGGTTGAGAAGCAGGCCCGATAAACGTGACGCGGGCCAGAAATAAATATACATGTATATACACACGGGCCCTCGGTCTATGCTCCGCGGAAGGACGATCGAAGTGGTTAGGCGGATTCGTGTGTACAGGATCCATCCGTATCCCCGTGTACAGATGGTTTCGGGTTACCGGTGGAAGCTAGGTGCTACGGTTACACAGGAAGGAAACACTAGTGGCTCCGCCGGGCCGGTTCTCTCCGTCCTCGTCCGTCCGTACGTCCGTCCCGGACCGTTGTCCTCCGTTGGCTGCGGTGACACAACGGAGCCGGCACTTTGTGCACGTGGAGCACGTATATCGCGGTAATGAGCGAGGAGGAGAAGGAGGAGGAGAAGAGAAGGTGGAGGCACGAGTGAAAACTGGTCGGCAGGGAAGAGGAGCCAGCGACCGGAGAGGCAGCTGGAACCGATCGGCAGAATGCGGGCACACGCGGCTCTCCGCGTCGTCTCGCATTGCTCGCCGGGAAAGCTGAACAGGGGAGTAACAGTAAAAGTAAACTGTGCGCCGCGCATCGAGCCTGCTCGATTTTGTTACGTCTCTGCTCGCCGCGTTCGATCCGGCGAAAATTCGGGGCCTGCTGATGGAACAGGGACACGGCGAGAGAGCAAGAGAGCGAGAGAGAGCGCGAGCGAGAGAGAAGAAGAGAGCGTGAGGGAGGAAGAGAGCGTGAGAGAGGAGAACGCGAGAGAGAGAGAGAGAGCGCGAGAGAGAGCGTGAGAGAGGAGAGCGCGAGAAAGAAGAGCGCGAGAGAGAGAGTTAACCCCGCTTTCCAGAGGAAGCTAACCAGAAGGGCCCGCTGAAGGGAAAAAACCGGGATAATATTTGTCCGCAGAAAAGTCGGAGCGGAAGGATGCGCGTCGTCCAGGCGGAGGTATCGAGACCCTGAGAAGAGGGGGGGAGGAGTCTCTGGTGATCGTCGCGCGCCGGAAGTGGCTTCTCGACTGGTTCGGGCCCGATGCCTGGCGCACTGGGACACCCAGCTGGACCGCACATGCCCTGGTCCCCGCTCGGAACCTTCCCCGTATTCCGTTGCCGGCGTATATAAGATACCGGGACCCGGTGGCGGACTAATTTTAAAATCATCCTCTCTTCACGAGTCGAGCCTCTCCGTCGAGACTTTTTCTTTTCCACGGACGGTTTTTGCCGCGGCGGGCGCGTGCGAGAGCACCGCGCCAGCTCGCGCGCGCGTTCCCGATAGCCGCGCCGCGTGCGCAGATAACGCTTAATAGCTACGAGAGCCGGGCTTACTTACCGGATGAGTGGTGTGTCGTGTTGTCTGCGTCGTGATAAGCCTCCACAATTAGCGAGAAGGTGCCCTGCAAGCAGAAAGAGAACCAGTTAGTTACGCCGGGGGGACACGCGTACACCCTAATCGACCGCGCCGGCAGCTTCGACCCTCCCAATCCGACTATATTTATCGCCGGAGAACTTTGAAATCCACGGGCTACGTGGGGTTAACCACCCTATCATCCCCGTGGCTGCCTCGGGCAGTCTGTTTTTTTTCGATCGACACCCCTAAACATCGTTTCTCTGGATGTTCTCGGCACTGGATATACAAGCCGTCCGGAAATTACGTTACTTCCGGGAAACTACGGGTTCCTCGGGTCATTTCAAGCGACTTTTTCCTTTACAGAAATGTTCTACGACGCGTCGTTCGCGAGTTATCGACGAAAAACGGTGGCCAGTGGGCGGGGCGAGAGGTCGCAGCGCTGACGCAGGCCGGCCGAGCCAATCGGCGGAACCGGCGACGCGCGCTCGTTGGCACGCCACGCGCGCCGGTCGAGCTCGAGTCTCTCATTGGTCGCGGTTTTTCGCGAATAACTCGCGAACGAAGCCGCGGATCGAAGTTTCGCAAAGGAAAAAGTTGCTCGGAATCGCCCGAGTAACCCGCCGCTACCGGATCGCGAGTCGTTTTCGGGACACCCTGTAGTCCGAGCGGCGACGAGAAGCCGGCTTTCGCGGGATCTCGTGCTCCTCGAAATATTAAGGTAATCGAACGATCCGTGGCCCGGTGGAGGGGGGCGACGAGGCGGCGAACTTGTCCCGGTTTCGGCGCGAAAAATGCGGCAGCTGCGCGCGTGTGCCGTCACGTATCGCAATTAACAATAAATTAAGCGTCCCGAGGCGGTGCGGCGGGTCGCGCGCGCGCACCTGCCGCGCATTAGAAGGGTGCCTGTCCCGGCGAAGCGTGCCTAAAAAGCCGGTAGAACGCGACCGGGTCACGTGTTGCGGGACAGATAGTGCGGGAACCGTCGAGTCGTTGCAACCCTCTCTCGGCCCCCGTTGAAATTGCCCGGCAGGAAAGAGAGAGAGCGAGAGAGAAAGAGAGAGAGAGAGAGAGAGAGAATGAGAGAGCGAGAGCGTCGCTTTCACCCCGACAACGAGGCTCGAGGGTTGCGGATCGGTTTTATATAACGGGCGCACGCGTTACTGGAACGAAATCGCGCGGAGGCACGTGCTGTCCGACAACACCGTGACACAACGGATGGATGGTTAATCGCACGCGAAAATAAATAATCGATCGACGCCACCCGACGGTTTAAATGGAATGCCGTCGTGCTCCCCGGAACGGGAAACCTGTTATACGCAAGCCGCGCTCAAACGATCCGCCATCGACACGCCTACGCGACCCGGTATAATTAAATCGTCGGACACGTGTTGATTTGATTATTGTACGCAACGAGAGAGAGAGAGAGAGCACCGACGGATCGCGCGGACGTGTTTCGGTCGCTTTAATCCCTATTGTAACATCGACGCGATATCCGCCGCTGTGATTTCGAGCCGAGTCTCTGCCGAACGTGGATGCTGCTTATTCGTTAATGCTTGGTAATCGAAACGCGACGCTGATTTTCTGTCAACGATTACACGAATGCAACAGAATTTATACTGTTTTCAGAAATTGCAAGCTATTGGGTTGGCAACTAAGTAATTGTCGATTTCAGTTATAGATGTCTCTCACTTCCATTTTTATGATATCCGTAAATGTTATATTATAAAATTATTATTATTATTATTATGTTATTTTGTATTATCCGTGAATGTTAGCAACTGGACAAATTGAATGCAGCGGTCAAGGAAAAGCGAGCAGAATTGGTCGATCGTAAAGGTGTCATTTTTCAGCAGGACAATGCTAGGCCGCACACGTCTTTGTCCACTCGGCAAAAATTCATGGATATTGCTTGGGAATCGATGTTACACCCACCGTATAGCCCTGATCTCGCGCCATCGGATTACCACTTATTTCGATCCCCGGACAACTCCCTTCGCGGTAAAACTTTTAACGACGACGACGCTGTAAAATCTCACTGAACTCAGTTTTTGGCCGAAAAGGATCAGACTTTCTACGAGCGTGGAATTTTCAAGTTGTCAGAGAGATGGTGAAAGGTCATCGAACAAAATGGAAAATACATTACAGATTAAACTTCGTTCCAAGTAAGAAAAATTTTTTATTTCATTGAACAAATCGGCAATTACTTAGTTACCAACCCAATATTTCTCTATAAGCTATAGTTCAATATTATATCAAGCTATAGCTCTAACAAGATACGCGTGTCATTTCCTTTTTTTTATATATATATAGACATTGACATAGCAACTGTTGGAAATTCTCGAGTAGTTCTTAAAATTCATTTTTATCGCGACATATTCGAAGAATCGGGGTTTGAGTAGATTGTTCGGGATGCGAAAAAGTTCGAATGCCATCGGCGGTGAAAAAGTTTGAATTTTCTAGCGTCAGTTTATTTTTCGGGGGAAGTAAGTGGTTGATATTTTGCAATGCGAAAAAATGCGATATATTGGCAGACGGTTTGTCTCTTAACAGATTATCTCAACGATGAGGAAGTCCCAATCAACGCTGCTACGAGAGAAATCGCAAGACAAGGGGTTGAACGCGTTCACCGTCGAGCGTGTTATGCTGTTGGTAACGCCTGCGGCGGCAACGGAGTGAGATTGACTTATAACCAGTTAGTTAGCTGTTGCAATCTCTTCGAAAAGCGTGGAAATTACTGCAATTGCACCGTGTTTGTTTGATTTCTTTCACAATCCGTTTAACACTCTTGTGCGACGTATAATTAACCGGTTAGCTGTTCGACGAGTATACTCGTCACGGAGATGTGGCAGTATTTTGCGTCACGACGAGTATATTCGTCGGAGAGAAGTGGCAGTATTTTGTGTCTAGACGAGAATACTTGTCGCGAAGAAATGGCAGTACTTTGTGTCGCGACGAGTATACTCGTCACGGAGAAAAGTGGCAGTATTTTGCGTCACGAGGAATATACTTGCCGCGGAAAAAAGTAGAGGTATTTTGCGTCGCGACGAGTATACTCGTCAGGAAGAAGCAACAATACCTCGCATCGCGACGAGTATACTCGTCACAGAGAAAAGTGGCAGTATTTTGCGTCACGAGGAATATACTTGCCGCGGAAAAAAGTAGAGGTATTTTGCGTCGCGACGAGTATACTCGTCAGGGAGAAGCAACAATACCTCGCATCGCGACGAGTATACTCGTCGCGCGAATAAGTAACTATAATCAATAACTACTACTAACATTAATGTATCAAATAAAACCGTCCTCTCAATCAACCTTTTTAACAGCGACGCTTACACTATATTCGACGAGTATACTCGTCAAAAAGAAGCCGCCACAACCAACAGATCAACGCTCTCACAAAACACGCAACTAATCAAAGAACATCAAAGCACCCGCCCATCCAACAATTTCCCCTTTTCCGACGAGCACACTCGTCCCGAATAATCGGCAATATTTCGACGAGTATACTCGTCTCTCAACTAATCAATTACCGCAAACTACCTATTAGAACGATACCGTCGCGTTCCCGGTCGTCGGCAACGCTTGTAGCGGCACACAGCCGCTCCCATCGAATCCCGCTGGAAAGCGGCGGCGGCGGCGGTTCCGTCGCGTTTTTCGCGGGCGAGTCATATTCTGCCGACGGATTGGCCAACAATGGGCCACACATCGTCCTCTCGGGATCGATTCGCCGCCACCTACGCGCCGGGTGTTCTCGGCGGGTCTCCGAGGAAAAGGAAACCGACTGGTGGCTCGGATCGTTTCGCGGATATCTGCGTGGAAATCGAGGCGGCGGGAAAGGCTCCTCGGTGGGCGTCGAATCGCAGGCGCGACCATAAATCCCGCAACGATACCTCCCTATGGGCAAACACCGGCTCGGATCGGCGCGGCGCGGCGCGGCGCGGCTCGGTTCGGTTCGCCGCGGCGCGGCGTCTGCCCACGCCGATTCCGGCGGCGACGACGACGACGAACGAACGAACGAAGACACACGCGTCGAGCACGCCGCGCGCGAGAGAGCCGAGACAAGCGGAGACAAGCGGAGACAAGCGGCGACGAACCGGGCGGCTTGTTATTGTGTAATAAGTACGTGCCGTACACGCGGTGCCTGGTACGTGTGCATGCGGCGATAATGCGACGTTTAATTATGAACGTCACACGCACCCGGAGAGGAAGAGAGCGCCAGAGAGAGAGAGAGAGCGCTCCAGAGAGAAGGAGAGAGCACTCCAGAGAGAGAGCTAGAGAGCGCTCCAGAGAGAGAGAGAGAGAGAGAGAGAGCGCTCCAGAGAGAGAGAGAGAGCGCGCCAGAGAGAGAGAGAGAGAGAGAGAGAGCGCTCCAGAGAGAGAGAGAGAGCGCTCCAGAGAGAGAGCTAGAGAGAGAGAGAGAGAGAGCGCTCCAGAGAGAGAGAGAGCGAGAGAGACAGCGAGAGAGAAAGAGAAAGAGAGAGAGAGAGAGAGAGAGAGAGAGAGAAAGAGAAAGAGAGAGAGAGAGAGAGAGAGAGAGAGAGAGAGACGTACTTTACACGGACGCGTCGCGCCTTGTGTACCTGACGCGCGAGCCCCGCGCAAACAAACGACCGAGAAAAAGAGAGAAAAAGAGAAAGAGGGAGAGAGAGAGAGAGAGAGAGAGAGAGAGAGAAAGAGAGGAGCGCGGCTGGTATTACACACGACCTCGTTAGTCGTTGCCGCACCGTGAATAATAAATGTTTATATCCGGCCTCCCTGTCATCGTCGCCGTTCCTGTTCGCGTAAACGACCCGCCGCTGGGAACAATTCCGTCATTAAAAAGAGACATACACACACACACACACACACACAGGCACAGTACACATCGCACCACGGAACAGGGAGGCGCGCGCGTGTTGTTGCTTCGCGTGAGAAATCCGTTTTCGCGTGGCCACCGGTCAATCCTCGCTATATAGCGCCGCTTTAACCCAGTTTCCAAGAGATGCTCGCGATTGCGGCCGAGCAGAGTCGAGTCGAGCAGAGTCGAGCAGAGTCGGGCCGGGCCGG